AATCATCACAGATTGAATCCGTGGAACAATGGCTATCAGCCTTTCATATATTCGTTTCAATTTATGTCCAATCCCACCCCCAGGCTATTTCAGCTCTCATGAAATATGCTGACACTGTACAAACTTTGTCTAGAAGGTCGGGAATTGCTGCGGCTTTGAATTACGATTGTAACTTCCGTCGGTGGCATCAACTTTTCCCTCAAACTTCATGGGGAAATGTTCACTCCGAATTTTATTTGGAGGCTACAGCAATTGGGTTGAGAAGTACCTCCCGCCCAAACTCTTTTCAACAGCCCTTTCAGCAGCCCTTTCAGCAGCCCTTTCATTCCAAATCAACAAGTTGGCCAAAAGGTGTTTGTTGGCCATTCAACAAGTCTGGATCTTGTCGAAAGGGACCACGCTGCAAATTCCCACATGTCTGCTCCAACTGTGGAGGGGGGCATTCCTTTCGGCAATGCAAATTGCAATCCTCCTCCACTCTTCCCCAGGATAACCCCTCAGGCGGTGGAAACAATGGCCAACTCTCAGCCACTAATCCACAACGCCAACAACGTAAACCTCCTCAAAAAATCTAAACTCCCTACTCCTATTGAGGTCCAAGTGTTTCTTACACATTTAGCGGGCTACCCTCAGGATAAATTTCAATTTTTGAAGATGGGTTTTACTGAAGGTTTTTCTTTGCAGTATTATGGTTCTAGGCGATTTCGAACGTCCAAAAATCCCAAATCTGCTCTGGATAACGTTTCGGTTTTGAGACAAAAAATTGAAAAAGAAATTAGTTTAGGTCGCATACAAGGTCCATTTCCGACACCTCCTTTTCCAAATCTTCAGGTATCCCCGTTGGGCCTTGTACCATAGAAATAACTCAATGAGTTTCGTGTCATTCATCATCTATCATACCCTCGGGGTACATCTATCAATGATGGCATAAACCCTGAAGATGCCACTGTGGCATATCAGACAATTGATGATGCTGTGCGCCTTGTCAAACATTTTGGGAGAGGTTCACTCATGGCCAAAACTGACATTGAGTCAGCTTTTCGACTTATTCCCATTCATCCTACTGACTATGAGTTGTTGGGTTTCCAGATAGACGACAAGTTTTATTTTGATAAAGTCTTACCTATGGGATGCTCTATCTCTTGCCGTCTGTTTGAGGCATTTAGCTCTGCTATTCATTGGATCATGGAGACAAAATATCAAGTAGCGGGGGTTGTTCATATTTTGGATAGTTTCCTTTTTGTAGTCCCACCTGGTAGTTCCAAATGTATGGAAGACTTGGCAAACTTTTTAACTTTTTGTCAACATACCCAAATCCCTATAAAACAAAGCAAAACTGTTAACCCTTGCACACAGTTAACTTTTTTAGGCATAGAGTTGGATAGTTCTAAAATGGAGGCCAGACTTCCTATGGACAAAATCATCAAAATGCGGCAGTTGTTAGATCAGTTTTCTCGGCGCAGGAAAGTCACGCGGAATTACAGTCTTTAATTGGTTTGTTAAATTTTGCCTGTAAAGTTATCTCTCCAGGTCGAACTTTTTTGCGTCGTTTGGTCAACTTGACATGTGGCCTTCAAAAACCTCATCACCATGTACGCTTAAGTCGGGAGGCTAGCGCTGACATTGCTGCTTGGAAAGTTTTCATAGACTCCTTTAATGGGGTTTCCATGTTCCTTGGTGATCGCTGGGTAACTACAATCAGGGTTTTGGGGCTATTTTCAACACTTCATGGTTGTCTGGGACCTGGCCAGCATCTTTTACCTCGTACCATATTACAGTTAAGGAGCTCTTTGCAATTGTCTTGGCAATTGAAATTTGGGGCCCCTGTCTGCGAAATAGATGTCTATTGTTGTACTGTGACAACATGGCCGTTGTTGATATAATCAACAAACAAACAAGCAAAGATAGCACTCTTATGGCTTTAACTCGTCGTTTTGTCATTACTTCCTTGCGTTTTAATATTCTTTTTTGAGCACGTCACATCCCAGATCACCTTCTGACAATCTAAGCATGTTACTTGTACAACTTTTGGAAAATGCAACATCCCCCCCAGACCAGGCGTACTTATGCTAGGGCTTATCAATTATACCAACAGTTTCTGGTTGCCAACCATCCAACACTTCCATTCATACCTACTAATATGGGCATATTAGCATATTTCATTGCTTACCTACATCAAAATAATTTTGCCTCTTCCACAATATCGACATACATTGCAGCCATTGGATATTTGAATAAGCTGGCTGGTTTTTCTGATCCTTCCCAGTCCATTATCATTAAAAAGCTTCTATTATCCATTCAGCGAACGTCGTCACGTGCTGATAGCCGCCTACCAATTACCCCTGCCATTTTGGTGAAATTGGTAGAGTCGTTGCCATTTGTGTGTCCGTCTGCATACCAGCAGTACTTACTAAGAGCAATGTATCTCTTAGCCTTTCATGCATTTTTACGTGTGGGTGAGATGACTATGAACAAGTCTGCATCACATGTGCTTCAGTATCATGATGCAGTTATTTCCTATGATTCTAATGGCTGTCCCTCAAAACTTTAGCTATTTTTTTCGCTCATTTAAAGGCCATTACAATATTCGGCCAATCACTTTATCATTACAATGTAAGCCTACACAGAGTGCCACCTGTCCAGTGTTGGGCCTTCATCAGTACCTTTTGCGACGTGGTCACTTGGCAGGGCCACTCTTTTGTTTTCCAAATTGCATACCAATTACCTATGCTTACCTCAGTACTTGTTTGCACAGTTCACTGGCTTGGGCTGGCCTGGCGCATCTTCCCTACACCAGTCATAGCTTTTCATACGTTTACACTTAGTAAGTCACAAAAGCCATCACACACAATAAACTTTTTTTTTATTTCAGTGTTATATGGTCACCATGCTGGAATGACAGAAACCTAGGAGCAATCATAGTTAGTACGAGTCTATTAATCTTTTCATAACCTGCAAAGAGCATGGTAATTTCTAAGTACACACAGACAAACAATAAAGAACTGATGATGTTGCAACATCTCTCATTTACAAGCTTGACCCGGTCTATAGGTGACATACAAACACAATAAAAGTAGCTCAAAGATGATTCTAAATCAATATTAAGTAATTATATATAATTATGGTTTTCATTTTCTAACTCTAAACCAGCATTCAATTTCTCAATATTCCAATATTGGAGAAGCAATGGCTGCAATATCCATTCCTTTTGAATAACCAAATGATGAAACATGTTACTTGTTATACACTGTAGTGATGTAAAAATCAAACAAATACAGAACAAAGTTTATTTAATCCAAAACAGGTTTTTTGAATTCTTTGAGAGAAATTCATGTTGGGAGTGACCAATATATATTATTGATATATATATCATTTTTGGCGGGTATATGGTTGTCTGACATACGGTAAATATTGCTGACAATTTTCAGAAAAAAATATATACATGCAGTGGAGGAATGAACTACACGGGGGTAATGAAATAACAATTTCAGATATAGCGACTTAGGGCCATTCCATCCATGAAGAGTCTTTGATTCTAGCATATCTGGATCTTAAGAAGAAGATTGATGAAATTTCAACCAAATTGCCTTCTTTTGCCCCTTCCTGCTGGCCCTAGGGAAGGGCCAGGTTCTTAATTTTCATACTATCAAAATTCAGTCACATGATAGTAATCCCAACAAACTTTGAATTTGTACCCAAAAGTGTTATTTCCCCATATAAACTACAGTAAGACCAACATTTTTTTTTTACATTTCCTTCGTATAATCTGATCATGACATACCTTATTTTTTTCCTGTGGACCTAAGGAAACATTTTATTACCTACTTTATATCCATGAAGATCATTTTAATAGTCCGGCAAAAATTAAATGCACTTTTAGGGTCATGGGATCTTGACCACATTCTTGATAGAATAATAACAATTGAAATGCCAAGAAATTCATTTTTCTTACATTTGTTATTACCCTGTAAGTATAGTTGTATATAACTAGTTGTTTATGTTTGTATATGTTTGCAGTATTTACATAATTTCAAGCTGTACTATTATTTCCACCAGTATTTAACTTGTGTCTCCCACAACAGAGTGGCGAGTGTGATGACCACTACACTATAGAAATATATATATAAGGCTTTACCGATCATCCAGAAAGAAGGACTACAGAAGATGAACCGCCAATATATCCACTTTGGGAAGAACAAGACTTGCCTGAAGAAGGGATCTGATGTCATCATAACCCTGGATGTACCGAAGTACCTACGAGCTGGGATGAGACTGTACCGCCTTGACGATGGGAACATTGCAGCCAGTGGTAATAGAGACAATGTTATCAAACCTGTGTACTTTAAGTGTGTGACTATTAGATAGACTGTGGATGTGGATAATGTATAACATTGTGTGCAATAATGTGTTCTGTATTCCCATGTTCTGTGTAAATTTAGATGTATAATTGGGGAATTCAATAAAGATTATAATTGTGTTGTACATGTGTTATTAATTAATATGTTCATTAAATATAATTAATATACATTAATGATATTTAAAAATGTTTGATTCTCTTTAATGTTTTTGTGATTGATATTTAAGTAGATGTAATAAATAAACTGTTGTAAATAAATTCTAAAATTTATATAAAATATGTTCATGTCTAACTATTTTAAATTGTAATTTATTCCATGTTTACATTCCTAAATAAATCGTGTTTTCAGTAAAGAACCAATCTTGTCTTATTCATTGCTATGGCGTATTTTGCAAATGTAAGAGTTACTTCCCTTGAAATTGACTTCAGTATCGCGATGCTTTTTTTGGTCGATTTCCTAACAAAATACACATAAAAAAAAATATTTGAAACTACACTTTTTTAAACTTTTCATTTCTAGTTTGATTTTACAGTGTTGTTTGACCCTATATGACTTGCTTTGTCGATGAGCATTAAAACAATACAAAAACAAAACAAAACCTTACACAAAAATACCGGCATGTTTGTTTTTTTTCATTTTCAGCGAGAACTGATGGTCGTCATGGCTTGATGACAACTTTCTCTAACTAAAACTTTGAGGTATCGCTGCTGGGATAGCCTTTGTACACATTTGAGTATCATACCGGCAACGCCGAGATGAGGGTCATATAAAGATTTACCTCTCTTGGTTGAAAGTGTCATCATGATTCCACGCCGCTCAGTCAAGATGCTAATTTGCCTTGTCATCACCGTGCTTGCCTTAGTCATGTACGTGTTCTGAATTATCTCCCTTTAAACCAGAACTGGTTTATTATTGGTAGATAGAGCTACATGTCGGATACTCGACGATGCAGGTAGATCAAGTAGATAGGTGTTTTATCGTAGGTAGATAGGTAGCTATGCGTTGTATGTATATATCAATATATGTAGGTAAATATATTTGTTTGTGGGTAGGTATGCGTCGTATACAAAAAAAATGGGATCTAACAGTCAATACGGATCAAACAAAAATTCTTGTGTTTCGAAATGGGGGTAAATACAATGGTCGTCAGCTAGAAATTGTAAATGAATTTAACTACCTAATCTTACTAAATTACAATGGAACATTTAGAAAAACACAACAAAAAAATGCAGATCAGGGAAGAAAGGCTTTGTTTTCAGTTATGAATGTATGTCGAAAAATATTTCAATATTGAAACTCAATTATCAGTTTTTTGATACGTATGTAAATAGCATTCTAAGCTACGGTTCTGAAATATGGGGCTTTCATAAAGCCTCAGATATTGAAAAAAATCATACTTTGTTTTGTAAACGACTGCTTGGCGTAAGAAAAAATACTTGTAATATTATGGTTTATTTAGAACTTGGGAGGTATCCATTGTCATTGGTAAGAAAGTTAGGAATTATTAAATATTGGATTAAGTTAAAAAAGGACTAGTAATTGTATTTTGCAAGCATGTTATAAAGATATGGTGGAGAATAAGGATAAATGGGTTGTAAACATAAAAATGATTTATTTAGAACTAGTCTTGGTTACATATGGGAAACAGAAATAAATGATGATATGCGTTATAATTTTATTAGAGAAAGACTTATTGATATATATAGACAAGAATACAAAGAAAACGTAAGAACATCTTCAAAGGGATATATCTATACATATATTTATAACCAGTTTAATTTACAGTATTACTTAAGAAAACCGTTATCTTTAGAGAATTTTTGAAAGATATTACAAAATTAGGTTATCTGCTCATAATCTAAATATAGAAAAAGGTAGATATCAAAATATTGAGCGTAGTCTTAGAGTGTGTACTGTATGTAATTTAAATGATGTTAAAGATGAGTTTCATTTTATGTTGAAATGTCCATGTTATTCGAATTAACGTGTTAAATTTTTGAAAAAGTACTATATAAAAAACAAGTATATTTAAAAGGATAAATCTATTTAATGTAAATAACACAAAAGAACTTGTCAATTTGTCCAAATATATAAAAGCGGCAAATGTAAGAAGAAAACAATTAACTTAAGTTGTAACACTCTCCATACTGTTTGTACATTGCTGGTTTTGTATTGTATGTATTGCATGTATTGTATTGTATTGTATTGTCTGTAGATATTGTAATATTGTGATATTGTATATCTCACTTTTGAAACCGATGGGTCAAAAGACCCAAGGTAATAAAGTACTTGAACTCTATGTATATATCAATATATGTAGGTACATATGTTTGTGGGTAGGTAAGTATGTACTTTTGTAGTACGTACCTAGGTTATTAAGTACATGTATATTTATAAGGGGATGCTAGGTATGCAGCAGGGAATTAGATTACCTATCTCAGTCCGTGGTGTGAAGCTTAATAGGAACATGGATACATACGTAAATGTAAGTATGAAGGCAGGTTTAGGTATTTACAGTAATTAACAACGTTTATTAGTCTGATAAAAGCTAAAACTGGTCATAGATCACTCATTTCTGCCCCTGTATTATGATAAAAACTATTACTGATCATGGATCACTGTATTATTATGATAAAAACTATAACTGATGATGGATCACTGTATCATTATGATAAAAACTATACCTGATGATGGATCACTGTATTATGGTGATAAAAACTATAACTTGTCATAGATCACTCATTTCTGCAGGTGTATTATCATGATAAAAACTATACCTGATGATGGATCACTGTATCATTATGATAAAAACTACAACTGGTCATAGATCACTCATTTCGGGCCCTGTATTATGATAAAAACGATAACTGGTCATAGATCGCTCATGTCTGCCCCTGTTTTGTTATGATAAAAACTACAACTGGTCATAGATCATTCATTTCTGCAGGTGTATTATCATGATAAAAACTATACCTGATGATGGATCACTGCATTATTATGATAAAAAACTATAACTGTTCATTAATCACTAATATATGCCCATGTATTATTACGATAAAAACTATAACTGAACATTAATCACTAATATATGCTCATGTATTATTATGATATAAACTATAACTGATGATGGGTCACTGTATTATTATGATAAAAACTATAACTGGTCATAGATCACTCGTGTCTGCCCCTGCATTATTATGATAAAAACTATAACTGATCATTAATCACTAATATATGCCCATGTATTATTATGATAAAAACGATAACTGGTAATAGATCACTCATGTCTGCCCCTGTTTTATTATGATAAAAACTATAACTGGTCATAGATCACTCATATCTGACTGTGTGTTTATTCTGATAAATCTATAACTGATCAGATATCAAATTAAACAATATCTGTAAATAAGAAATTAACATACAGCTCCCTAATAAGTTAACAGATGCCACTCAATAAGTTTATCAAACATTTACTGATTATGATGAAACTTAGACGATCATTATTATAAAATACAACGGCTAATTCAAATTTTGGAAATATCTACGGATAATTTATCAGCATACTGCACTCTGTTTGGTCAACGATTTTTACACAATAACATAATCAATTATGATCGGAATCATGTAAAACTTTGTCAATTTTTGCTCAGCAGGAATTATAGATGGAAAACATGAAAATGAGAGGCTCACTCATCGGCTGCAGGACATACGGGAACAAATATCGAGAACTTCTGAATGGATTTCAAAATAAATCAGAAAACAACTTCTTATTCGCCCTAAAGTACCACTTCATCAGTTATAATAACGAAGAAGAGCTCCACTCAGAGTTTATTTGTTACTAAGTAATCTCCCTTCAATAAAGATTCTGGCTTAGAGTAACTTCCACTGTCAAAAGGGTAATTTATCCATCATTTGGATGTTGTGCTTGTATATATCCTGCATGGCAGCAATTACACAGTATCGACTCGCAATGTAACGCAGTTCTACCCCACAGGTTGGGGGTTGTTTTTGTTAGGGGGGGGGGATATTTCTTTTGAAAAATTCTGAACAGAAAGTTTCACTTTAGTAACAGTGATAACGATATCGTTTAATTTGTTGGTACCCTTTACCTTAAAGAACAATGTTTAAGAAATCAGCTCGGAGTGCAATTCTTCATTGCGATTCTAACTGATGCCATCGTGCTTCTATATGTTGTGAATACATTTTGTTCCTCGGAAGATGTATGTAGTTCTGTGGCGAATTTTTATGTTCAATGTGAATTTTCTTTTGGTGCCGGAAGTGACCAATATTAAAATCGCTACCTTTATTTCTTCTTCCTTCCAGGATTAAGAGTCTGACTATCAGCAATATGCACTTCAGCGGTTACTTCAATCAGTTGGCAACGAATGTCAGCTTCAGGTAAGGTCAAGGTCACCAACAAGCGAGGTCAAATATTAATAAAAACTTTAGTAGGGACCACTTTTAACTGTCGTTTATTTTTCATCATTTTGTAAACGCCAGTCGAATGACGGCGGGCGGGCGCGAACGGTGTCCGGTCGATATCTTGAGTAATTTTCAACAGATTCAATTAAAACTTCATAGGAAGGTTCATTGCCATGATAGTTCGAATGAGTTTGATAACTGTAATTATTGGACAGTAATTTACGGAGTTTTTGAACTTTATTCAATTGCCAAAACAGTGTCCGCCCGATATATCGAGTAGTTTTCAACGGATTAACTTCAAATTTAATAGGAAGTTTCATAATAATGATAGCTTCTGAATATATATGAAAAAGCTTATAGTAGATTAAATATTCTTCTTTACATTAAAACTAAAGTCAATCGTAAATCATTAATTAAAATTTATATAGCATTTATTAGGCCAATTTTGGAATATGCAGACATAGTATCGGATAATTGCACTCAACAATCTAAAGAACTTCTAGAATCTATTCAATTAGAAGCAGCCAGAATCATTACTGGACTTCGATCTGGAACATCTCATAAGAAACTTTATAATGAACTTGGTTGGGAAACTCTGTCAACAAGAAGAAATAAACACAAACACATAATGATGTATAAAATAATGCATGGGCTGTCACCTCAATACTTACAAGATGTCTTAAATCCTTTCATTAACAATCAAAACAATAATCCCTATTTCCTCAGACAAACAAGACTGTTTAATCCACCAATATGCAGAACTAACAATTATTTTGACAGTTTCCTCCCTCTAATGTGCCGCACAACTAACACTACTGATAATGATCTCTTAAACTCCCCAACTCTTGCAACCTTTAAACACAAACTAAATAAAGATATTATTATCGATAATGAATCAACCTTAATTTTTAAAACTGAAGGTGATAGACGGGCCAACATTATTCTTTGTCAACTTAGAAACTTATGTAGCAATTTAAATTTTGATTTATTCAATGACCATTTAACTGACTGTCCCTCTTGTGCTTGCTCTTTTGAATATGAAACAGTTTTCCATTACTTTCTTGAATGTCCATTGTATAATGATCTCAGACTTACTTTATTTACTTCTGTTGATAATTATGGAAATCATAACCATATTGATACAAACATTTTTCTACAAGGCTGTCCTGATTGTGATGGACTAACAAACAGACAGTTACTTAATGATGTACAGTTATTTATTGGTAAATCTAGGCGTTTTAATCTCTATATGATCTAACCAGCCATGACCTTATACTTTATACTTTTATACTTTACTATTCCTATTCCAATTATACTCCACAAATAAGTAACTTTACCTACTTTTCTATAAATGTTATTCTTCTACGGACATAGGAGTTTTAAGTTGAGCATGTTTGTTTGTTGTTGTTTGTTGTAAGATTTGTTCAATCTGTCTTGTTTTACAGTTTCCATCTTATACATTGAATTACACATAGACTAGCTATCTATTTTCATATAAAACTATAATACCTTAACAGTTTTGGCGACTGTGACCTGTGCATATATTTGCACATGGACTTTTGGTCAATGTCTGCCAATATCTGTGTGATTTGATAGCTATATAGCTCATATACAATTGTAAAATGTTATAAAAATAAATAATACCTGTGGAAGTGTTTTGTGTGTGATGTGAGAAGTGTGAATGTATTTGTATTTCAGTTATGTTAATTGAGAAGGAGTTACATCCCTTTAATATATTTTTTTTTTATAATTTTCATTTCAAAATTGATGTATTAATTAAATCAAATAAAAATAATAGAATCCGTTAATTTAGCCACCGCTGGAGAGAATTTATATAGGCTTTGCCTGTTATTCCATCCAATTGACTTGTATCAACTTTGTCAATAAAATTTGTTGAAATGAAAAATGATAGCTTAGACAAGTTCAATAACCACCATTGTCCAACCGTATATTATGGAGTTATGGCCCTTCATGTACAACCGTACAGACAACTACTCATTCAATATATGATGGGCATATTATGTTGCGCTTCCGGGGTACCCTTGTTTTATTAACTGTTTTTGTTCAATATGCCATAAATGATAAATTAATATTGTCCTTATTCCCACAACATAATAAATAACATTACTTGTACACAAACAGCGTTTGTCTTCCAATTGAAAGTTGTATAAGGGAAAACGAAGTGTTTATTTCCTTTGATCATATGCGCTGTTAATCATGAACCGATTTGTGGATTACGACATACTCCAATTGTATATGTAACAAGAGGCCCAGAGGGCCTTATCGCTCACCTGAATATGTTTAAAATTATTGGTAGGTGCTGTAAGTAAATATGAAATTTCAGAAAGATCCATCCAGTACTTGAGATATAGCGAGAACAAATTTCAAACGGAGCCCTATGCCCCTAGGGGGGATCATACCCACCAATTATACAAAATTGGGTGGGGGTGGGGGTGGGGATTAAACCCACCGTTTATACAAAATTGGTTCCCCTTTACCCAAGAATGTTTCAGACCAAATCCTTTCATTCCTACAAAATAAGAAGGTTTTTAAAGAATTTGCTATGTTTCCCTATTGGGCCCTGCCCCTTAGGCCCCTGGGGCGGCCAGACCCACCATTTATACAAAATGTGTACCCCTTCCCCCAAGGATGCTTCTGACTAAATGAGGAAAAAATCCCTTAATCCCTACAGTAGAAGAAAGATTTTACAGGTTTTACCTCTATTTCCACTATTGGGCCCCTCTGATTTAGCAATACCCTGACTTAAATAGACCAGGAATACTTTCGATTTACTTGTAAAACTTTTTTTTTTACATGTTGATTGAAGTTGTATTGCATTTTTTCTTTGACAGACTTAATGATTCATCGCTCTCAAATATCATTAAGACAGCATTAAAAATGCCAATGGCAGCTATTTCGAGAAACATCCTGAATCGTTATTCCGAATATCGTCAGATACAACGAGTTGCTGATTTTAAAGAACTTTATGATCCTCGGTTTTGTGTGGTAGAGCTAGATATTGACAGGAAAACAAAGACATTCACGGCAGGTACAGAACTCATAGCGAGAATACACCTCTATAATGGTAACAACAAGTCCCTGACACAAGGTGGCGACTTGCTCAACATTTGGCTGAACAATGCTGACGAAAGTTCGTCTGTGGCTGGTTACGTGGTTGACAATATGAATGGAACCTACACAGGTCACGTGATGGCGTTTTGGGCGGGAAATGTATCGGTGAAAGTGTCTGTCACCAACACGAAGGAGGGGATCGGTTTATTCACAAATTACGTGAACGTATATGGTTCTTTTAAATTCATGAATGCAACATTTGTTGAGAACCAGAAAAGTGAGATGACTCAATGTGCACCAAAAACATCTGGTTGGCTGAACAAAACATATGGAGGATTCTGTAATTTAACACATGAAAATTTTAACATTTCTTTATTTTGTGGAAAGCCCAAATCTGTTCCGTGTGAGAAATGGGTAAAGTATGGCTGTGACGATTCTTTGTACTACGATGACATCACAAGGAAAATATTCAGGTAAATTGATAAAAACTGATGTGATATATTGCATGGTCGGATCTAGAGTTTAGTCAACATGCAAATTGTTTTGGTAGATCGCAATTTAAGTTTTAGGTTTCGATTATTAATAATATGGATTGAAGATAGTTTAGAAATTATATTGAAGAATTCGTGTAAGACGTGGAACTATATGGATCACACCGCTTTATATATTATGTACATATAGGTCTATACAATTTTATATTCCATATTGTTGTATATCAATACAAATACCTTTACCTGTTGCAACCCATTGACAGTAGTGGCGGATCCAGAGGTTATATTGGGGCTTCAAGAACCCCCCCACCC